GGGGTACGGTAGAATGAATAGAAAAAAAAAGGAGCTTCGGAATAAAAATGAATTGTTTGTACAACGTAAACTTTGTCAAATGAGTGTAAAATTACCTCGAACCCCACGTGGCTGCGAGTGCCGTGCAAGAGCATTGCAAATAAGATATTAAAAGAGAGAAAGGTAGAACAGAAAGAGAATGAACAGACTACACTGAGCCATTATAAACTTCCGTCCGCCACGACGTGGCGTTGGGTATAACAGCAAGAAGGAAAAGTACTGTCTTTATATATTTTTTTCGCGAAAAGTGCCTGATACAATTTTTCTACTTGCTCGAAACACTCACCTGCATTAAAAACTGATAAAAGCCTTGCAGATTGCACGACGACGACACTTAACGCTTTTTGACGTCACACTGGCATGAATTTAAGCTCGTACCGTAAATCGTGCGTCGTAATTTCCCACGACGATTATGCCTCGCCTTGTCTCCTTCTTATTCCTGTCTGTCTTCCACACTCTGACAATCTTATTCTATTTCACTTATCTTCCTTTTCACTCTCCAACCACTCGCCACTTTCATACTGCTGTCCCTTCTTCCTCTCGCATCTAATTACACGTTCGTTGCAAGTTCACGTTGAGTCTAATTCCGTGGAAAGTGGATGCACCCGGAGGACTTATATGTACATAACAAGCTATATACGCGATCGTATGCACAAATACTAAGGTGAACAAGTTTGCAACTAGTAATAGTCCCTAAAGATAAGCTAAAACTTAACCGAGCCAAACAGGACCAAACCCTTCAGCGTCACGTTACGCTTCCATCGTTTATTAAGCAAAGTATCTTTTGCGCGATACACTTTGGCATCGTGTACTTTCCATTTTTAGAGTACAAAGTTACACTCAGCATCTAGATACACGCTACTGTCATGTAATATGCATATACGCTTCTACAGAACAGTTCGTCAAAACACTAAATAACCCGACGACATAAAATACAGTGTATGAGACAGCTGGTATAAATACTACTAAGAAGCCATGGAATCTTTTTAGTTACCTTTGGCGAGTATCGTGGCGCCACAGTCGCGGCGGCCCCTACAATTAGGCTGTAGAAAAAAATTAGCGGCATTTCCACGGGTTTCTGGAGGCTCGCCGACGATGCTCTCCAGCACCCAAGCCAAAACTACTCCGAGAACATTAAGGGTCATTACAATGGTCGTAAATAGCGCGAGCACATCCCGCCGCGATGATATTTATGTTATCAATTTCAAAAGCTAGTTCCAGGCCAAAGGTGCCAACGCAATGAACTCGTGGCGATGCCTCTGGCAATAAAACTTTTTCCTCTTACAGACTACGGCCGTGGCTATACTATATTCGTGCTTACTTCTACTTGCGCCAACGGTGAGTAAACCTCCTATACTTCTATACGTACTACCTATGCGGACCTGCAGGCTGCGAAACGGCCTATACCTACTACTCTACACTCAACCCTCCTCTAATATTCTCTACCACTGTGCTGGATTCTACTACGTTTTGCTCTACTACTGTAAGTCTAGTCTGATGCTACCACTACTGCTACTACACCACTGCTACTAGCAATAGTACGTAGTACTCCCTTATCGTATACATGGTTCACACGCTATAGACACTATTCCTGTATCCTATACGTCGAAGTACAACGCTCTACTCTACAGAAATTCCCACAGTGCTAGACACTTTGTCTTTGTACAACTTGGAGTTCTCCGTACTGTCAACTAGTCTCCATATTGTGGTTACTTTCCCTCGCAGTTTAATATATGTGCACAGGAGTAAGATATCCAGCTTGATGATTTTATTGTCGCTATAAATATACAATTTATAAGTAAATCTTAAAGACATGCTTGCAAATTGACGACGCTATAAATTTAGGTTAAGGGTTTATTCGAAAGTGTATCTTTAATTAATGAAAACGATAAATGGCTGATTGACATTGACTTTGTTATTTTTAATGAAATTTTAAAATGAACTTTGAACGTTGCAAAGTTGGCTACTTTAATTTCTGTATATATATATATATATATACACCGAGTAAAACATTTATTTCAGATAAAGAGAACATGACTCGTGTTAATTAAATCTAAGTCTTCTTTTTGCTTCTGTATACGTTCGGAAAAGTCAGTTAACGAGTTTGAAAATCAAAAAATGACGATAGTACCAACTGTCCGCAATACGGATGATATTCTTGACAGCAAGATAAAAATCTTTAATTCTTGCCGCGTTCATCTTCGTTCAAGCTTGAGAGAGCAGGGTGGCGTATTTATACTCTGCGAACATGATTCCCGCCGACTCTTTAATCGCTTTATTACTTTTGAAACGGAGAGAGACGCTTGAAAAGAAAAAGACCAAATATTCAAGACGCAAGAAAGTATATAGCCAGGAAAAAAATTTTCATTATAATTCTATATTCCCCAGAATTGTCTCTCACCCGGTAAACATATTTTTTTCTCTTTCTCAATACTTTATTTATTTCTACCCTAACACTACGACTTTTCGGAATGAACCCCAAGGATCTTGACTTATTCACTGATATCCAAGAGGAGAATTCACGAGGTGATTTACACGATTGGGCAGGGTCCTATCGAACGTTTTACAAGGACCTCAAGGACACTTTAGGATCCTGATATCGTTCGAAATCGTATTTCCTATTTAATAAGGAGCATCGCGAGATACAGATGAATCTTTTGTGTGCGGATGATGTAAAACTGAATTTCCACGTGGCAACGCAAGAGATAAGAGAAAGGATAATGAAAGAAGATAATGAAAAAAGAAGAACGAAAAATAATAAGCACTTTCGTACAAACAGCAAACTCATTTGACAAGACTTTCAGAATTAAATTACATGAAAATGAAGAAGCGTGTAAACATTTTCTTTTTTGTTCTTAAATTGGACTGAAATTTCCCGGATTTTCTACAGGGCATGTGGAGGACCAAATGGGCAAAGTTGCCAGGTGGAATTTTACATTGGCTAGGATACGTAAAGGAGTTTGAAGATTTGTATTTAAAAAGGACGTGGAGAAATTTGTAAAACATACTGGGATTGAATTTCCGAAATTGCATATGGACAGCAGATATATCAAAGGGATGGACCCCGCGTGTCCTCCGCGGGACTCTTGAGATTTGATTAAGCGAAAAGGAAAAATCAAAGGCGACCGGTTGCTACTCTCACTGGACTCCCGCCCGTCGGTTGTCGCCACGTGCAAAAGACATCAAAGACATGGGTCACTTCTGACACATAATCCATGCGTCCCTATGACCAAGGTTCGACCCGCAATAAATGTAGGAATGAAAAGAAATAACAAAGGCACTGAAAAAATGTTATCGAAATAAAAAACCAAATTTTACGTGAGCGATAACAATAATAAATTAGAAAAAATACAATTTTTTTTTTTTTCAAAAATCCGAAACCCCCCTAAAATCTTTCTTAAAAGTTCGAAGGTCGAAACCTACTCAAAAGATTTGCAAAGTCACGTTCAAAATGTTAACCCGAGCAGCGAAGTTCAGAGTTTAAAAAAAAAAAAATTTGATCTTAAGAATAAAGAGTAAATGTTAAAACTCACGTTTCCAATTGCCAAGGATCCAAGTGACACTTTTCCAGCCGTCAGCTGCAATCAGTGATGATTAATCAAAGGAGCACGTGACTGTCACTCAGGAACGAGAAAACCCGAACGCATCCGTCCCCTCCGAAGGACGACGCTAAACTGCCGGATCGCGGGTTCCGTTCCTCCGGCCGGAGGACCAGACCCGTGAGTTGCCGTAATAAAGCGTTGTGGGCTGGAATCGCGCAGCCAGCGGCGGAAGGTGGAAGGTGGAAGGTTGGAAGGATCATGTGCATATACGTAGGAGGGACAGGCGCAGATTCTCTTATTCAGGGTGAAGGGTGAGCGCAGCTGAGGATATCGTGGCTAAGTGAAGTACATAGGTGAGAGGTCGTTAAGGGGTTGAAGTTGAAAAAGACTAGACCGGCTAGGTAGGATCAATTTCCAGTGCGCAAGCTCAGGTTCGTGTACCCACGTAGAGGAGGCTGTACCGATGTCGAGACTGGAGATTTGATTTAATCGCCAAGCTGACGGGACACTCGCCTTTGCTCCTGTGCAAACCTACGATGTTCAAAGGAATAAAGACCTAACGTAATTTGCATTCTTAGAACTTGAGGAAAATAAGCATTGGACAGGATGCTGAATTGCTGATAGACCAGAAGGAAGATTCGTGATTATGCAGCGACACGACACCCAACATCCTTTGATGATACCAAATTATAATATACTTATCATATTATCACTGTATCTTTTATACCACCAATTAACGTTAATGTTTATTCCGATTATTAAATGAAATATTTAATTTTGATTTACTTTCGAACCCAAAAAGGTCATATCATTTCATAATTTAATTATTGCGAATCCTGCGATAGGTGCATCACGAGTGACAGATGAGATTCATAATTTGACAGATGTAAACAGAGCACGTGGGTAGCACGTGGTCTCCTACCTAACACACGTGGTCCCCAGGACTTACGCTTAATAATTCAAATTCGAATCGCTATGGTAGAAATTTTGCAAATTTCTTAATACTTAACGATCCCTCATAAATTCCCCATCGACCCTTCAAATACTCGGAGACTTACGTATAACTTTAAAGCAGCTTAAAATATCTGAATTATGTAAATGCAAAGTTTGCTTATATTCCACGATAAAATGTAACGGTATACTTCGATTCTGCATAATCACCATTCTAAGCCAAGTTATAAGTAGACTGAGAGTTATAAATTAAGAAAATAAACTATTATCAAAACTTGAACAACCTTCAAAACACTTATTCGAGCGATACGCAAAAGCGTACGATTTCTCATAGCAAAAAAAATTTTTTTTTTTAAATAAAAATTTATCTCATTAATCTAACTGATTTTACATCTTCGATTCCCATTACCCTTCAGTCTTATCTATACGTTCTACGTACAGCATCCAGTACAGTTCATAAATCGTAATTCCGTTATCGCAGTAACGTCAAGGTCCTTCCAGCATCTTGCTGATATTAATAAAGCCATACTCAATCCCATCCCGGGAGCTTCCGCGATGCTTGAACTTCCATGAGAAACACGAGAACCGCCCCTAATGACGTATTTTAGCAGATAGAAGAAGCCAGCCTTTCGAAACGGAGTTTCCAGACAGCGAGCTACAGCTACGCACCATGTGGAACATTATAATAGCGTCGAAACTTCCTGCGCGTACTTGAGCGCCTTGGCAGAACTCACGATTGAATTATCCATCCAGGGAATCCAATCAGATGTAACCTAATTAACCAATTAAATATTTACATTACACGCATCCCGTGCGTGAAATAATTAATGAATTAAATACCATACCTGGATACCAGTGTAAACATAATTAATCCCAAACGATTAATCAATCACTTTACAGAAACTGTATGATCTGCTCGTATTATACGAATTTTGAAATCCACCATCCGTGCAGTCCGTATTGTTTAGCCGAATAAATAAACGGCGGAGTCTGAGAGACATCTTGAATGGACCATTATGTATTTCATGGTGCATCCTTATACAGATCAGGAAGGGCTGTAAGAGAATAATGAAAAATATCATAATACAATGCTCCGGCATTTGCGGCACCGTTAAGGAACTTTTCGCATGGGCAATGATCTGGGATGGATTTGGAAAAAAAATAAATAAAAAAAAAAATAAAACAAAAGCGAAAAATGGCACCACTGTACATTGGGCTGTTTACGAATACGTCGAAAGCGTTTCTGGAATTTTATCATAAAATCAATTTCACTCTTTGACGTCAAACGATTCAACAGGCAATTTCGCAGTTCGCGTGCGCATAGTAGCTAGACTATAATACCGCGTAACGTTATTCGTAATAAAAAGTAAATCAAATGTAAAACAAAAGTCTCGTTTGACTTCGACTGTTCTAATGGATTTTGTGTTTGACTGAGAGCGCAACGTGATTCGTATACAGGGACGGGTTAATT